ATATAACCATCTTCACTATCTTCAGGGATACCAGATATATCAAATGCTTCTATTTCTTGTTCCGTGAGCCAGGCAAAGTCGTGAGTTGGGAGCGGTTGGCTCATGGCCCATCCATATAAGTTGTTAGCATCGAGATACATTATATAATTATTAGGGAGTGAAGAGTCGTGGTTTGGCGTATATGGGTTGTTTRCTCTGGCATAACGATGACTTATCATACTGATACCACCTCTTAAACCATCTTCAATAAACAGATACATATCCGGGTCAGTTAAAAGTTCAAGTTCAACACCAGTCATTTTAAGACAAGCTGCCCAAGCTAGTCCGGGACTTGTATAATAGTGAACAGGATCAAGCTTGTAGTAATTAAGGCAAATGTTCCGAAAGTTTTCAAACACATCAGCCAATAACAGAACATCTGTGAGGAGGTATAGATCATGATAGTCACCCAGATTGGTCATTTGGAAGGCGTTGAAGACATTTTTAGCATGAAGATAGTCGGTATCACTGATGTTCTCGTCTGTGAGAGAGCTGTAGAAAGCTGATTGAGGTGGAAGGGTGGATTCTYCAAATTTCTGCACATTGTCCATGTAGTCGTAAGGGTAGACGCCTTTTCGAAGAAGAAGTGAGATTTTACTGGCATCGGGRATGTGYTCCTTTAAAATTTTAAATTTAACATCACCCTCTTTGGCCAGGTTAGAGACAAGCTTTTCCAGTGACGCATTCATGAACTGCAGAGAGTCGAGAAAATGTAAGTTTCCTATAGAGAAGGTGATATACTTTTCCATATTATTAGCAATGCAGTTAATGGGTTTRTCCTTTATTTTACCCAGTTCCTGCATAATCAGATGGCTGTCGTATCCTTTCATGTTGTGCAAGATAACTGGGATACGTCCAGTAAACTTGTAGTTTAGGTTGCAATCATTATGWGCTGCTCCTCTAAACCGACCCGTAAGATGGCAGTGTTCGCGAACTTTATCCGCTCCTAATACCTCGTTGCAAATGTGGCAGTGGGTGGCGTTTTGAAATTCTACTTCTTCTTCTTCTGGGGTTAAGTTCATAGGGACAATTTCTTCCAAAATGGTACTAATTCGTCTTTCCTCTTCTTGGAGTAGCTCTAGGAATTTTTCCACAGCATTCTCCCCTCGATAGACTATTGGTGCTTTACAGTAATCTGGTCTTTCAGATAAAACAATGTATGAAAAACCACAGGCTTGATGATGCTGGTATTTTGTTGTGGAAGAGATCGAAGGGTCTTGAGAAGTTGATTGGACCTTAGTGGTGAGACTTTCGAAATCAGCATAGATGACAAAGGGGGCTTTCAGTTGCTTTTGAACATCTTTAAAGGATAAAAACATRTTCTCATCATCGGGGAGCTCAATCCTCTGTGCGCCATGTTTCCTACARCGCATTTGGTGGTCCTGTAGGAGATMTTCTCGCACAAAKCCATGGAAACAGTAGGGGCAGCGAAACATTGTTCCATTATGCCTGCTCTGATCAGAAAGCAATCGGTCTAGATTTCGAATTAGACAATAGTGACTTTGCAGACCTTGAGAATAGAGAAGTAGGTTTACATGGGTTTCGAATCTGTGCTCAGTAATATACACAGGGAAAAGCGTTCCATCTTCAAACCCGAAGACGTTAACAGCAATGCCATTCTGTTTTTCAAATTTAGGGATTTTAGCAACAGTAACAGGGAATTCTATTCCTACACAGCTCACTTCATTTTCATAGGGCAGATARTGTTGAACTCGGTGAGGGTGATCTTGTCGGTTAACAGGGTGWAGAGCAGCCAAAATGCACCATTTGAAGCACTGGTTGTCGTTATTTTGAATGTTTAAAATGGCTTTCTTATCTTTGAGCTTCTTAGGTAGAGGGAGGTAGCTGRATCCTTTGATTGGTGTGTATTGCGCTATGTGTAGGTGGACATGTAGGATTTTTGATAGTAGCCAACCACTTCCTTCTCTTTGATAGGTCGCCAATGCTTTTGTGATTTTTTCGTTAGCTTCATTTAACTGCTTTACAATTTCATTAGAATTTACCGTAGTATTACAGCAGCTTCTAAAGTGCGGCTCAGAGGTCACTACTTCGCCTTCGCTGTTGGTTTTCACGAGTTTAGCTTGCACGCTGATATACCACTTGATGCCTTTTTTCATGGTGAGCTGTTTGTTCAGTTGTTTGTTGATCGGGGCCTTTTTTCCCTTTAAAGTAAGTTGCATGTCATACTGCTCCTTGACACGAGGCTTATAATGAAATACTTTGAGTGATCCTTCTATAGCTGATGTTGAATCATCACATGGTTCATCCTGGAGTGCTTCTTGATCCTCCAACCTCTCACGTTTTTTAGGTGGTTCATCCTCATCCTTTTCTTTACTACC